CTCCTGAGCCCTGGGCTTTCCCAATTGAGAGCAGAGTCTTTGGGAGAGGGCAGGGTTGGATGCTTGGTTGTCCCACTGGAGGGTCTATGACAAGTGTGTTGTTATGGGGTGTTTGGCGACGTGTACCAGCTGGATCCCTGCTGGGGCTGGATCCCACGTCAACCCCATGGGGGACCCCTGTGTCCACTGTGACCCCAGAGAAACTCTGGACGTGGGGGAGAGCTGAACAACCTGGCGGGGGTTGGCACACAGAGTCCTGAGAGAAAGATGTGGGTGGGACTCAGCAGAGCCTCAGCTGGTCCCCGGGACGCGCCTATGATTCTCCCTCTGCAGACCCCAATCCTACCCAGTCAGGTGAGGACCCACCTAGCTCTCCCGAGTTCCATGAGTCCTTCCAGCCATGACAGAGCCTGAGGGCAGTGCTGGTACCCCAAGCTCGCACCTGCCCACTGTGTTAGAATGCAGAGGGGAATCCTAAGGGATGGCTGGGGCAGGGCGGAGGTGGGGGGTGGGAGGTGGCCTGGGGTTAAGCTTTGTCCTCCGGATAGTGCCAAGCCTGGACCTCATCCTCCCAGCCCATCTCTCAAGTCTCCAGGTCGGTCCGTCTGTCCCCTGGCGCCATCTGTCGGTGGGTCCTGGGAAGCGCTGGCTTCTGTTTCCACAGCTATGTAGGAGACAGCCTAGAAAGGGAAGATTCGAACCTGACCTGCAAGTTCCTTTCAGACAAAACCAGTGACTCCCCATGAAGCCCTGCGACCCAGAGGTGAAGCCTGTGGGACCTTCTCCCGAAGGCCAGGCAGTTTCCCCAGAGCAGCATGAGGGACCGTCATGGAACACCCACTAAAATGCAGATCCCACGTTTGAGAGACAGTTCTGGGGTTGTATTTCTTGCTCACATGCAGGGAGCCTGGGCTTTATTCCTGGTTCCACCTGGTCCCTTGACCACCATTGGGACTCATTCTGAGCAGTTTCAGGAGAGGTGCAAAAAACACAACACAAAGCAGCCCACTGGGGACATCCTTGGTGGGAAATGTACCCTGGTGAACTGTCAGATGCTGGAACATTGTATGATTGAAACCCAGTCAGGAACAACTTTGTAACTGTCTCATTGTGGTTAAAAAAAAAAAAAAGCAGACCCAGGTACCACAGACCAAGCTGATGAGACTCAGGCTGTGACCACACAGGGGCATCTGCCCCCACAGGGGCTGGTTTTGGTGCAGCACAGGGGGTGCTTCTTGGAGAGCCCACCACAATGGAGCAGTGTTTTATGCAGATCCCTCGCCCCCACCTCAGCACCCCACCTCACACTTACCCCATTAGCTGAGTTTCTGTGAGGGTCCTGACCTGGGGACAAAAGGAGATGCTTCAGGAAATCGTGGGCAGTCACGGACAGACACCAGGCCCATGGGGCCCCCTCTTCCATTCAGGGTCCCATAGTTATAACACAAGGCCGGGGAGAGGCTTCATTCCTTTACTCCTTGGGATTCACTTTTCTTTGGGTGTTTTGCAATTTCAGGGCTCAAACCCAGTGTTTCACACATATGTGTCATGAGCTTCACCACAAAGCCCAGTTCGGTCTGCTATTATCAGTCAATATTCTCAATCCTGCCTAAGCCCCATCCTATCCCTGTCATTGATTATAAATCAATATAACCAATACTAGTTGAGGCTCAGCCAGTCTATTATTCATCATGAATCAATATGGCAGAGCATGACCTCAGGAGTCAGGTGGGGGTCCAGGTCTGGCCCTGATCCTAAGGAGCTGAGTGACTTGCACCCCGGGCTCCCCTACCTGGGCCTCAATTTCTTACTCCCAGGGACTCCCCAGCCAGTCCTGAGTGTTTCCTCCTGCTAGGGGCATTCCCAGGGCAGGAGACCCAGTTGGGCACTAACCCTCCATATCTCCTCTCCCTGCCCAGCTGATGCGACACCCAGAGAGTGAACATCAGAGTAACGCAGTTGGGGTGGGGAATGGGTGATAACATGCCCCATGCAGGGCTCCGTGCTGCCCCTAGTGCTCAGGGAAGCCCCACTTTACAGATGAGGAGACTGAGTCATAGGGAGCCCGTCTTCTGCCGGTGACTTATAAGTAAGGCTGGGAGTGATCGAGCACAGGCTGCTGGGCTCTGGGGATGACTCACGTGGGGTCACCTGCTACAACACCTGAGTTCAGCCTGGTGCTGGGATGCAGAGTACACAGACCCTGAGAGTCCTGCCCCCAGGTCTCACAGTCCATGGGAGACATAGACATGGGCCCACATAGAGTGACCCAGATTGGGCACAGTTGGGGTAAGCAGCCCAAAGCAGGCAGTTACACATTCTGGGACACCAGGGAGAACTCCATGGAAGAGGATGTCTCAAGTGAAAGTGAGAGAAGACAGTTTCATTGAGGGCAAAGGAGCACTGTAGGTCCACATATGATGGGACCTCCAGCTACTAATACTTCATAGGTCCCACTTCTTTCTCCTTGGCCCCTGCAGAGGGCTCCAGAGTTCCGGTTTCTGCTGCCCCCCTCCTTTCTGTAGGAGCATTAGGGGGTCTCTCCTAGCAAGGGACGTGAGGGACAGCTGGGGGTGTCACTCTGCCCTCGGTTCCCCTGTGTCCCTGGAGGCTGCCCAGTGCTGACAACCCTGGAATCGGGGGGCGTCCCTCCCTCGGGTGGGAGACCAGCCCCTGCCTCAGTGTCCATGTCTGCAGGGTCGGGGCCGCCCAGCTGTGAGGACACGCAGGACAAGCTGCCTGAGGTACGAGTACAGAGCCTCGCACGGGGTCGGGCTCAGGGATCGGGGCTCGGGATAATCAGTATCGAAACACGGGTGGGGAATGTTGCAGAGAGGAGACACTCACGGGCCTGTCTTCGACACCGGAAATAAACCAGGACCCCCACCACAACCACCAAGAGGATTCCCACAATCGCAATAGGCAAGACGATCTGGAGAGCGGGGTTTGAATGTGACGGCTCTCTGGTTTCTGAAAGAAGAGAAGAAAGGACTTAGGAGCGAAGACATTGAGGTCCCCGCCAAGTAATATTGACCCTCATTTGGATGGGTAGCCCCCACTGCCCCTCTGAAGAGCGCTACGGTCCAAGCCTAACCAATCAGAGCGTTCCATTTGTGAGGTTGCTTTGATAGGGTCCTGGTGGTCACGTGACCTCATCTGAGCCGATGAGAGGCACATTAGGGCTTTGGGCGAAGCTATGGAATGCACTGATGTCTTTCCCACTCCACTATTGAACCACCGTGTGACGGGAACCTGTAAAGCCCACAGGTCCCCTGCCTTGTGAGGAATGATCCAGAAGAATAAAGCTAGCATAGAGAAAATGGTGAGGAAAAAAAAAAAGATCCTTAGGGTACCTAGACTATGTCAAACCTGAAGCTGCATTTTAAATCATATGCCATTTTTCTGGACAATTTTGGTATTTCTAGCAAGTGCAATAACCAGAATTCTGCCTCAAAACCCTGAAAAGGCCTGTCTGAGTCTTTGGGGTAGAGGCTTCAGCAGGAGTTTATAAGCATCTCATGGGGCCCAGGCGACAGTACAGTAGGTAGGGCGTTTGCCTTGCATGTGGCCTAGTCAGGTTCAATCTCCGGCATCCCATATGGTCCCCCAAGCACCGCCTGTAGTAATTCCTGAGTGCAGAGTCAGGAGTAACCCCTGAGCATTGCTGGGTGTGACCCAAAAAGCAAAAAAAAAAAAAAAGAAAAGTAAAGAAAAGAAAAGCATCTTATGGCTGAGGGGCTCCACTAGGGAATCCCCATCCCTCCTCAGAGGCAATCCTATTTGGCACCTCCTGAGGTGTCTCCGTGTTCCCCACAGGTTCTCACCTGGGAGCTGGACTCTCTTGGCTGCCTGGCCCATCCCCAGGTCATTGGAGACACGGCAGATGAAGGTCATGTTGGTGGACTCCTCAGAGGGCTGGATCAGGAGCCGGGAGCCCTGGGGTACAGCATAGGGGGGCAGGGGGCCCGTGGTCCTGGGGGACACAGGTGGTTGAGAATGTGGCCTCTGCTGGAGCCCAGAGTGACAGGGACTGAGGAACCCCCCAGCAGCTCTCCTAACTATGACTCAAGTTGGGAGGTGCCTGGAGTCCCCCTGATTCTCCCTCTCACTCCCCCATAATTTCTCAGAGGTCCTGAGACTGGGCCTTCAGAATCCACCCAGAATGTTTCAGTCTTCAGGGCTTGTGTAGCCCCACCCTGACCCTCCTCCTCTTAGCTCCCCTGTCACCCTGCCCTCTGTCTCTACCCAGTGACCTTAGAGAACTTGCTAGAACAGAGCCAAAGGTCTTCCTCTGCTCAACCTTCCCTTGAGATCCTGCCTCACTCAGAGGAAGCCCAGCCAGCCCTTTGCTTGGGTCTCCAGAGCTGACCTGATCCCTCAGAGTCTGTTATTAGTTACCACCACATTTGCTCTTGTGTCAGGTTCTCAGGGCTCTGACTGAGCAGATGATTCACCCTTTGGGGTGCAGGTCAGCAGGTGATCTGTGACCTGAGCATAGCTCAGTGCTGAGAGAGGAGAAGATAAAGAGCAGGGAACCTGAAGCTTGGGCTGAACCCCCAGAAACGGTGTTTTTTATTGAAAACTTTATTTTATTAAAAAATGTTGTGCGTTGAGGAGGGTGAATAAATCCTAATATCACACCTGTGGGCATCTTTTTCACCACTGACCTTTGTTTTCTGCCCACATCAATGTAATTTTAGTGCTGGCCAAAGGTGACTTTCTCTAGGTCCATCCTGCTTTTCTCTCCTCCCTCAGATCAGAAGTCCATCTCCCAGCCTCCCCACTTAGACCCAGATCAGCCTCAGGACTCACGTGCTCCAGTCATATCTCTTGGGCTCCGGGTTGCTGCGGGCGTTACAGGTCAGGGTGGTCTTCCTGTGGCCCTCCTGCTCAATGTCAGAGAGAGAGACGGAGACCTGGGGGGCATCTGGGGAAGGGACAGGGATGGGCTCAGGGACAGGAGCCCCGAGGAGCCCACACTCGGGCGGGGGGCAGGCCCCTCAGGAACAGTTGAGATGGGAGGCCTGGAGGAGCTGGCAGTTCCCTGGAAGAACAGAAGCTCGAAGGTTGTGGGGATGGGAGACAGCAGGGCACAGAGGAGCTCGGGTCCCCACCCCAGGCTCCTGGGTAACATGTGGGGGCACTATGGCACAGTAAAGAAAGGCTAAAACATTCAATGTTCTGACAAGTCCTGTAGGGCCATGACTGCTTGTCTATTCCAAAGGTGACCTGTAGTGTGGTCTGGGGATGTGGGACTCTGAGACAGAGTTGGGTTCTGTGTGAGGGGGCAGGTGGGGCAGTCCATGTAGCCACTTTCCTCTCTTGGACCAGGGACAACACCCAAGTGTCCAGTGTAGACAGTGTCCATGAGAACAGTGAAGCCATTCCCACCCTCAGGAATGTCGAGTGACCAGTGTAGACAGTGTGGGAAGAAGTAGGTGGATAGTGTCCAGCAAAGCTGTGTAAACACTCCTGATGGATTCCATGTCGACTGGGGCAATGCAGGGAGTTGTTGTAATAGAGACAGTGGATTACGGCTCCCTGGAGAAGCTGTTGACTGCAGCAGTGTTTTTCTGGTTGGTGTTGGTGGCCTGGAGTGTTGGTGTTAATGGTGGCCAGTTATGGCTGTTGGCAACCATGTTGGTGGCAGTAGATGTGCATTTCTGGTTGGAATCAGTGGGGCAAGGGTGTCTTGTTACTATTATTGGGGTGTCGGCTTGGTGATGGTGTTAGTGGTGGTGAGTGGGTGTGTAGACAATAGTGAAAGCACTGGTGCAAAGAACAGGGATAAAGATGATAGTCGCCTGGGGTGTCTTTATAGACCAGAGGTTCCCACATTTATTTGGCGTCCTTGCCCCCTTTCAGGCCAACACCCCTGCAAAAAATATCCACTCAGTTGGTTGCCTATCCAAGAATCTACCTTCTTTAAGCAAATAAAAAGAAAGCAGTCCTCAATTGCTTCCAAGGCTACCACAGCCCCTCTAATATTCCAGTGCCCCCCTAACCCCCACCCCAGCATCTCCCACTGTGGGAAACCGTGGTGTAGACATTAGGGTTGGGGAGCGGCAAGCAGCACCCACTTACAGTGCACGCTGAGGTTCACCGGCAGCCGGGCAGGCGTATCCAGTGTCTCATGCTCCACCTGGCAGGTGACCGTCTTGCCGTCCTCCTGGCTTGAAGGAGTTAAGATTAAGACGCTGGTGACAGTGACAGTGCCGTACAGGTGCTCCTGGCTCTCGTTGATCTTCCCTCCCAGGTCCGGGACCCAAGAAATGCGAGGTGATGGGCGGCCCCCTGAGGAGATGCAGCGCGCCATGGGCACCGGCTTGGGACTCTGCTCGACCAGCAGGGACTCAGCCTCGTTCTGCGGCCGCGCTGCGGAGAAAAGCAAAGGGGACGGGTCATGCCTGACTGGTGGTCAGCGCCTGGGGTGTGGGAGGATTGGATTCCGCCCCAGCTCTGACCCTGTGCAGGAGGGTGGAGACAGGCAGGCATGTGCCTCAGTTTCCTTGTCTGTTCGCCAGGGCTGATGATAGGTCCTGGGCAAGGAGATTGTTGAAGGGTCCCTGCACGCAGAAGCTGCTCAGTCAAGGTCTCTGCAGAGACTATTCAGTACTTTGCCTAGTTCAGTGACTGGCTGAGGATGGGTGTATCCCTGTCCTGTCTTCCTGGGGTTTCCAGTCCAAGACAAAGGTAGTGAGGTCCCAGAATGGGAATGACTAGAAAAGGTACTTGAGTCTGGAAGAGTAATAGGAAGGGCTTCCTGGAGGTGAGAAATGCTAACCTGAGCCTGGTAGTTGAGGGGGAAGGAACTGGCCAAAGTTTATGTAGTTGTAAATGACTTTCTGCTGGGGATTCCCAGCCCTGAGACTCCACAAAACTTCTTCCCCGTCGTCCCTTTTACTAATTGGGTCATTATTTACAGACAATTCTCTTTACATTGATTTGATGTTCCTGGTTATTTTGGGGGGTTTGGGGTTTTTTTTTAGGTATGTGTGGTGGTGATGGTGGTGGTGGTGTGTGTATATGTGTGGGGGAATATTTCTGGTGGTGCTTAGGGGCTCTTACTGACTTTGTGCTCAGAAGTGACCCCTGAAGGTGTTCCAAGGATGGAGGCTGGCATATGTGATGCTGGGAAAGGAATCAGATTGGTCCATGCCAGGCACTCGCCTTCCATGGCCCTGCTGTTCCTGCTTTACCAACAGCCTAAATCATGCCACCTGAGGTCCCAGGTCAATTGGAATGCCAGGCGCTGCCTTTGGTTGAGGCCATGAGTCAGCACTGTTTCAAATGCTTAATCTGATGTGGGTTGTAGCATCTCCACTGCCTCCTTGGGGCCATGGCTCTCCCATGGTTTACACAGTGGTCTAGGCCCTTGGCTCTCGGGAACTGACACTTTCCCTGAGTTGTCCTGTGGTTCACATGAACACCTTTTACTGTCTCTGCTTTTTGTTTTGTTTGTTTATTCAGGGTGAGGGGGGAGCCCACTTGGCAATGCTCAGGGCTTACTCCTGGTTCTGTGTTGAGGAAATGCTCCTGGTGGGCCTCAGGGGACCATATGGGTTGCAGGGATAGAACCAAAGTTGATTGCGCGCAAGGCAAGTGCCCTACCCTCTGTTTTTTTGTGATTTTTTTTTAAATTGGGAGGGGGTGGCACACCCTGTGTGCTCAGGGCTTACTCCTGGCTCTGAGATCAAGGACATTCCTGGCAGACTTAGGAGACCCTATGGGGTTCTAGGGATTGAACCCAGGTCAACTGCCTGCTCTACTTATTATACTACCACTCAGGTCCCACCTTTCACTGTCTACTCTGAATATAGTGACCCACAGAACTGTCAGTTCATGCAAAGACCTGGGATGGTTCCAGGCACACAGTGGTTCCAGTACACACAAGAAAAGTCAGTTCTTAATAATCCTAAGCATTCCACAGAGGCACAGAGCTTTCCACTAAGGTTCCCAGGGGAGGACTTGTTATTTTTCTCCCCAGATCTCAAGAAAACTAGAGAGGCTGGAGAGAGAGTTCAAAGGGCTGGGTGCAAGCTTTGCAGTGAATAGGGCGCCCAGGTGCCATTCCTGGTACCTCGTGGTCCCTGTAGCTAGAGTAGCTGGAGTAGCCCCTGCCCCATAGCATGCAAGGTGCAAGGAAGGGAAGGATGTGGCCCATGTTTTGAAAACAATGCCAAATGCCAGGGGGCACTTTTGCATCCTCTGCTGGTTCCTCAATCTCTCTCTTCCAGATGGGTTTCAAGTCCCATCTGTTTAGAATTTTCCTTCCTCAACAAAGGGCATGTGACAAGGACTGAGCATGCACATCTCAGTTGTAAGCTTTTCAAATAAACTATAAACTTCGAGACCTACCTGGAGCAAGCATCAAACACAGGCCCCAAGTTTGTCTCCCAATAACTGTCCCAGCCTGAACCAAGACTAAAGAAAAAAATCCAGCTCTCAATATCCAATATAGTAGTATGGCCACCCCAGTACCCCATTGCCGCCCCATCTTCAGTGCACTCTTTTCTCTTTTGTACCCATAGAATCTCAGCAGGGTGACTGGAGAGATAGATAGTACAGCCGGGCACTTGCACGCTTCCGACCCGGGTTTTATCCTTGGCATCCCATAGAGTCCCCAGAGCCTTCCAGGAATGATTCCTGAGTACAGAGCCAGAAATAACCCCTGAGCAACGCAGGGTGTGGCCTCCAAACAAAAGAAAACAAAAACCTCAGCTGAGAAAACCACCTTTGCCCTTCCCATTGTGCATGCTGCCCTGACCAGGAGCCCATCCCACACGCCCACGCCCACACAACCAAACCATGCTTCCAACAACCACAACCAAGCCATGCCCCAACAACCATGCCCTACCTGATCCACATTTAAGCCACGCCTCTCTAGGCCACACCCCTAAAACTATGCCCTTGACACACCCACACCCCCTCAAGCCACACCCTAACAACCACACTCAGGACCTCTTCAAGCCACACCCCTAGCGCCCACTGTCACACCCCTAAAGCCACGCCCTAACAACCACGCCTCATCACACAAACCACGCCCCATCACACAAACCACGCCCATCAAGCCTTGCCCCCAAGCCCTGCCCCATCACAACCCCGCCCCTCGAGCCACGCCCCAAGCCACGCCCCCTTGCACTCACAGAACACACGGAGCCAGATGTGTTTGCTCCCACTCCCCCGCGGGAACGTGGCGATCTCGCAGGTGTAGTTGGCTTCGTCCTGGGCTCGCAGCCCGCGCACCATTATCGAGGCGTTCAGCAGATCCGTGCCCTGTTGGACGCCCAGGAACTCCACACGGTCGGACTCCGGGATGTGGGAGCCCTGCACTGGATGGAAGACCGCCACCCTGCTGAGATCCCCTGACGCTTCCCGCCGCATCCACGTTATCTGCGTCACTTTCGGGGGTTTGGACTCGGGAGATAGCAGCTTACAGGGCAGCGTCACGTTGTCGCCCACGAAGCCGTGCACTTGAGAGGGCGCCTGCACCGTCACCTTCTCGATCCCTGCGCGGGGTGGGAGGTGGGAGGGAAGGAGAGAAATGGATGGGTGAGTTGACACTCAGATCCCCACTGTCCAGTTCTCGATGGGGAGGACCCTCTGGGATCATCTGCAGGAAAGGAGGATCTAGAGAAGAGCTGAGGAATGGACTGGAAGTGAGTAAACAGCCTGTGTGCACTTGCATCTACTTGCAGTTACCATTTTTTAATCCTTTATCATTACAGTTGGCTGCGTGCAAGGAAAACACCCTACTGCTGGAGCGATAGCACATTGGTAGGGCGTTTGCCCTGCCCGCAGCCAACATGGTCGACCTGAGTTCGATTCCTCCGCCCCTCTCGGCGAGCCCAGCAACCTACCAAGAGTATCTCGCCCACACGGCAGAGCCTGGCAAGCCACCCGTGATGTATTCGATATGCCAAACACAGTAACAACAAAATCTCCAATGGAGACGTTACTGGGCCCGCTCGAGCAAATCGATGAACAACGGGAGAGCCTTTACTTTACTTTACTTTACTTTATCATTACAGTATTTCCTCGGTGACAGTGGCAACAGTATTTTATGTATTTGGTTTCAAAAAGTTCAGGGGTATGTGGGTGCTCTGGGATTGCTCCTGGAGGTGCTTAAGGTACTGTACGAGTCAGGGATCCAACCATTCCCCACCCGAGTGTGCAAATCATGCACCCAGCCTATTGAGCAATCTCTCCTGCCCTGTGAGAATGAGGTTAGTTTTTTAAAAATTAATTTTAATTTAACTCAGGGTGAATTGTCAAGCAAAAGAGGCTGCAAACCACTGAAATCTGCTGGCAGTTACTAATTGCTAGCCTGTGGACCCCTGGTGGCTGGCGGGTGTGTAAAGGACAAAACCACTGATTACAATATTTTATGCTCACAGTTAGGGGCAGTAAGTATATTCACGAGGTTGTGCTGTCAGAGGGTAACCCTGTCATTTACTGCAGATTTGGCACCCCGCCCCCACTTAAAGGTGTGTAAAGGGATGATTTGTTAGTTCTTAGAATCAATGACAAAGGGAATACCAGGAATGAAAGAAGGGTGGGGGGATCTTGGCACAAGAAGGGGCCGATTACAGCCTTCAAACTCTGCTGGGAGGCTGGAGTGACAGTACAGCGGGTAGGGCATTTACTTTGCACACGGTCAGTTGGGGTTCAATCCCCGGCACCCCATATGGTCCCTCAAGCCCACCAGGAGTGATCCTTGAGTGAAGAGCCAGGAGTAATCCCTGAGCACTGCTGGGTGTGGCCCCCAAACAACAACAACAACAGGAAGATTTCTGGTAACATAACACACAGAAGAGCAGAAGAATGGGGTTTCTTGATTGGTTAGTTGGTGACAGTACACTGAGACCAGAGGGGTACAGCATGACATTTCAATGGGGGCCCTTGTTGCTGAGAATTTTTGTGGTGGACACTTTCTGTTTTCAATCTCAATATAGACACTTAATAGTCTATGAGTTGTTTCTGTGGCCAGCTCTCCTTCTTGTCTAGGTAACAGGTTGGTTGGGTCCTTCTGTCCTGGTCAGTTTTATGATTTATGACTTACACATCTTTGCCCAGTTCCCAGAATGGTCCACTCTGAGCTCCTGCCTCTGTGCCTCTCTAGCCACCTGTGTTTAGCTACCAGCTTACGTTTCCAACTTTCCCATCACTATAACAGTACATCAAGATAAGGCTTTTTAAAAAATTATTATTGTTTGGGGTTCACACCGGCGATGCTCAGGTTGTTTACTCCTGACTCTGTACTTAGGAATCACTCCTGGCAGGCCCAGGGGACCATTTGGCAGACCAGGGTGCCACGTCTGATCAAACCTGGGTCAGACGCAAGGCAAATGCCCTACCTGCTGTACTATTGTTTTAGCCCCAATATAAGTCATTTCTTAATTCACAGGGTACAGGGAGATCAGAGCAAAAAATAGCAATTTAACCCTTACATATCATACAGTAGTCCACTTCCAAGATGCTCCCACAGATCAGGGCTATTCTGAGGGGTCCCCACATATCAGTTTGCCAGCAGCTCCTGAGCCAAGTTCTATTGTCAATCTTGCTTCATAGAGGGGGAAAGGAAACTTGAGGCACAATCTTTTGCTGCAGTCACACAACAGGGAAGGGCCATGGTGGATTTGAACCTGGACCATATGCAAAGTCCTGGGGCCTATGAAAATCTTCTTTGTAGCAAAACTCCACAGCATCAGTAGTGGGTAGGGTGCTTGCTTTTTCTCACTTCTTTCTTGTTTTCTTTTGTTATTGTTGTCATTGTTTATTTGCTCATTGAGTGAGGGTGCTGTTTTAGTTTCTGGGCCATTCCAGGCAGTGGTCAGGGGCTACCCCTGGCTCAGTGTTGGGGGTCATTCTCAAGGCTGCTCAGTAAGTATTGCAGTGTCAGGGAGCAAACTGGAAGTGGTCAGGACATTCACCTTGCATGTGGCCAGCCCCAGGTTTGATCCCTGGCATTCCGCATGGTTCCCCGAGCCCCATGAGGAGTGATCCCTGAGCTCAAAGCCAGGAAAAAGACCTGAGAATGTTGGTTGACCCAAATATTCCAAAAGAAAAAGAAAGAAACCATTAAAAAGTGTCAAGGAACGCACAACAAACACTTTCTTGCTTGGTTTTGGGTCTCACCAAGCAGTGCTCAGAGGCTGGCTTAGTGCTCTGGAGACCATAACATGCCGGAGTGCTCCAGGACCCCCAGCAGACACTTGTCCAAACAGATCATCCAGAAGGTCTGCAGACATGTGGCAAAATGCTCCTCATTGTGGATGGATTATAGGGAAATGCACATCAAAATAGCTCTGACCTATCACATCCCACCATGGGGGCCTGTAGCAGAAAGGTCAGTGGCAGGGCTAGATAGTACAGCGGGGAGGGTGCTTGCCTTGCACGCAGCCATCCCAGGTTCGACTGAGCACTGCCAGGAGTAATTTCTGAGTGCAGAGCCAGGAGTCACACCTTGAGCATCCTTGGGTGTGGCCCAACACACACACACACACACACACACACACACACACACAGAAAAAAAAAGAAAAAAAAAGAAAAAGAAAGGTCAATGACAGCTAGTGAAAAAGAAGAGAAAAAAATAAGGGAAAAAGAAGCCTTATTTCCACCGTCGGGCTTCTTTGGAAGACAGTAAGGACATTTCTCAAAAACTTAAAAATAGAACTGATTCAGCATGACCCGGGCATCTGGCCAGAGAACACTAGACCACAAATTGGAAAATCCAAACAGACACCTGTTCCCTGTGACTTTATTAATCTGATCTCCCAGATCTGGTAACACCTGAGTGTCCAGTCTTAGGTCTAAATCACAAAGCTCTGGTTTCTGGTTGCCTTGGCTCTGAGGAACCATGAACTCTTGCCCATTTGACAGGGATGGGGCTGGGGCTGGGGTGGGGGTGGGGAGGTTCATGCTAAGGGAACTAATCAGAAGGAGAAGCCAAATGGCAAAATGATAATCCTCATGTGGTGGATATAAATAAACCAAGCCAGGAGACTGCATCCATAGACACAGAGCCAGGGGCAATAGTCCAGAGGGTAAGGCATTTGCCTTGCATACGACCACTGGCTTCAGTCCTTGGGGGTCCCATACTCCCATATGTACTCCCAAGCCCTGCCTGGAGTGATTCCTAAGCACAGAGTCAGGAGTAAGCACTGAACACTGCAGGGTGTGGCCCAAAAACCAAAACCAAAACCAAAACCAAAACCAAAATCAAAACAAAGACACAGACCCTTAGTAAGACTTTTGCCTTACATGTAGCAGATCTGGGTTTAATCCCTGGTGGTTTAACTCCATATGGTTCCCTGAGTCTGTTAGGCATGATCCCCTGAGTGCAGAGCCAGGAATAAGCCCTGAGTACCACCAGGTGTGACCCAAAAACCCAAACAAAGACACAGACCTTCAGACTCAAACTACAGGATTGAGGTGGGAGGGGATTGAAAGGGTCTGTTGGATATTGTGGGACTGAAAGGGTCTGCTGGACATTAGGGGGGGCTGAGAGGGTCTGCTGGACATTGGCATTTTCACGGTGGGTGTGACGTGGATAGTAGGAGGACAGCAAGAGGGTGATGAGAGGCTGGGTGCAGAAGGAAGGCACACTCTCAACACTGGGGTTGATGGAATATGAGAGTGCCACCAACTCCTGACTGCTGTGCTGCTCTGAGCAAGTGAATCTTCCTCTCTGAGCTTTCTTCTACCCTAAGCTCCTCCCTGGCTACCGTGAGGATGTTGTTGGATGACATTTATTCCTTGTACTTCAGACACACTCCAGAAGCTTCTCTGCATCAGGCCCCAGCTGCTCCCTTCTCCTGGCCCTCTTTCACCACCCATAGCCCTCCCCCCACCCCGGCCAGGTAAGCAGTAGGGTTTAACCCCTTCACACAGAGCAGGTCTGGGCAGTTCTAATCCAGGGTTTCCCAAAGGTGGGGAGTGACTGCTCCCCTAGGGGGCACTGGAAGGGCCTCAGTGGTGGGAGTAGCCTCTGTTGCAATTGCAGGTGGGGGCACTTTCTGTGTCTTCCCTTAAAGCAGGCAGATCGGAGTCAGTGAGAGAGGGCTGGACTAAAGCGCTTGCCCTGCATGTGGTAACTCGAGTTGGTTCAATCTCTGGCACTGTATAGGGTCCCCAGAGCACCAGCAGGAGTCACTTCTGAGCATAGAACCAGCAGGAATAACCCCTGAGCACTGCTAGATATGGCCCTAACCACCCCCTCCCCCCCCAAAAAAAAAACATAAAAAATAAATTTCTGGGGCGGGAGCAAGATAGTAAAGCAGGTAAGGTGCTTGCCTTGCATGTGGCCCAAACCCCCCACCCAGCCCCCTCCCCCCAAAAAATGGAAGGTAGATTTCTAGGGGGACATGCTGAGTGATATTTTTTCTCTGATTTGGCTGGTAGGTCAAATAGTTTAGGGAACCTCTGATCTGATCACTCACCCAGACTGGGCTAGTGGGGAGCAGAGCCAAGACCCCTTCCCAGCTCCCTAGCAGTTTCCCCTGCTCTGCTAGAGGCTGTGCCACTATTTCATTCATTCATTCATTCATTCATTTCCCACTGTCACTGCCTGCTTGTGCATTTGAGGCAAGTAACTGTGCTTCAGTCTCCTCTGTAAATTGGGTTCATAGCAGGGCCCTAGTCTGGACACTGCACTGAGGGGGGATTAGGTTGGTGATTCTCTGTGAACTTTTTAAGCCCAGATGCCCCTTTTCTGGAGCAGCCCCCTTGGAAAGCAGCAGCTGGCACCAGGGAGCAATAATCATTTCTTCCTGGTTATTGGGGTCTGCACCTCTCCAACAGCTCAGCACCCACTCACAGCCCTATCCCAGCCTTATAAGGTCGGGTCAGTGGCAGGGGTAAGGGTGGGGCATCCTTTGGCTCTGCCATCAGGGCTTTACCTATCTACGTAAAAAGGAAGTGCTTGACTCACTCCTGGGGTGGTGACTCAGAGACACCCCCCCCCACCACCAGTCCTCCCCAGGGGGTGGGGGGTCACACGGGAAGGCCCAAGCTGAAGGCGTGCCATACCTCCCTGAAAAGAAGCCTGTCAGTCAACCTCAAACTTGCAAACAAATGACCTAAACTCACCTATGTCCTTTCTCAGCTAGGGAGGTGAGGGGGGTGCATAGGGTTCCCAGGAATGTCGAAAGGTGTCACTGTCACTGTCACTGTCCTCCCGTTGTTCATCGATTTGCTCGAGTGGGCCCAGTAACGTCTCCAATGTGACAATTGTTACTGTGTTTGGCATATCAAATACATCATGGCTAGCTTGCCAAGCTTTGTCGTGCGGGCGAGATATTCTCAGTAGCTTGCCGGGCTCTCCGAGAGGGGCGGAGGAATCGAACTCGGGTCAGCCATGTTGGCCGCTTGCAAGGCAAACGCCCTACCCAAAAATCATGGTGGCATTGGTGGTGGGAAATGGGCACTGGTGGAGGGATGGGTGTTGGGTCATTGTATGACTGAAACCCAGTCATGAACAGCTTTATAATTGTGCATCTCACAGCAGTGACTCCATTCTCACCTTGACTCCATTAAAAAAAATTAAAATTAAAAAAATTATGGTGTCAGGGAGGACATGGGCGAAGTTTAGGGAGCCAACTACTGAGACTGGGGTCCTTGGGAAGGGGCAACTGGTGTGGAAAGGGCAAGAAACAGACGCAGAGTTAGATCATGAGTTAGTTGGGGAGGGGGTGTCTTATTATTTTTTTTGTTTTGTTTTGTTTTGGGCACATACCTGGCAATGCTCAGGGATTACTCCTGGCTCTGTGCTCAGGAATTACTCCTGGCAGTGCTCAGGGCACCATGGAGACTGGGGTGTTATAAATTTCCCGGTCCTGAGTCATGGCCCTGAGCAAACATATCCCCCCACCCCCCCACACACACACCCTTGCCTTGGTTACGGGACCTGGCGCTGACCCCTACTCTCCAATAAGAGCGTCTGCATTAACAGTCTGGCTCTGTCTACACATCCTTCCCATTTCCCTGGAAACTACTGAGATGCTTTTCTCAAAACTGCTGTGAGCTCAGACTGATCCGGTGGCCCGGGTATCTGTCCCTTCTGGGCCAGCAGCAGGTGGCCACCGCGAGGGGTGACGGTAGGAGTGCATGCATGGCCACCCTTAGAGCCACATATTGGAGGGCAGAAGTGGACCGGAGTTCTGTGTCCCCCATACTCAGCGCCCGCGGACTTCGGGGAAAGGGCAGGGAATGCCCGGAGGTGACTCAGCTTCCACGGATTTTCCTCTGCTTACTGACCGAGGACTGGCCGAAGCGGCCGCGTCTCTCCTTCCCGGACCGGCGGCCAGGAATCTGGGGGGACCAGGAGGCAGCCCGGGGGGACCTCAGGGACCCGGTGCGCGGGGACACGGGGAGCGCGGGGTCACTCACCGGCCTCGGTGGGCGCCCCCATCAACGTCAGCGCCAGCAGCAGCGGCGGCCACAGCAGGGCCAGGGCCGGGACGCGGGCCATGCTGGGGTCCTCCTGGGTGTACGCACGGGGACTTCAGGCGTCTGTGATGAGTCGATCCCCTGGCAGGGTCTCGGGATTCGCGGGGCAGGGAGGGACGAGAAGGGGGCGGGAAGAGGAAGTTTCATTCATTCGCTTCCAGATGTGACGCAGCCGGCCAGGGCCGGGTCTCTGCAGCCACCGGCCGCACCCCCAGCTGGATGATCCTCACCCCCGCCCCGCAGTGAGTCAGCGAGGAAACTGAGGCACGCCGAAGGGACGAACCGGAGCCTGCACTAAACGCAGCTCCCACAGTTAATCGTCCACCAACTCACCCCGCCTCCCCACCCCCTGCAGCTGAGAGCTAGAATTACTCACATGGTTTCTGGGAAAAGACTGGCTCTCAGAGGAGTTTGCAAGGTGGAATTCCGCTCCTGGTCAGCCAGATGCTGGCCAGTGGGTCCCGCTTCGTCAGCTGCCAGGACCCCCCAAACAATCAGCCTATTGTCGCTCTGACTTTTTATAGACGTAGCAACTTGCTGAGGAGGAGAAGGGGTCATTCTGCCCAGGGGCATGGGGGGTGGCGGGAAGGGTTATGGGGGTGCAGCAGAAACAACCCAGGCTCCCTGGGTGACTCGGGGACGAACCCAAAACATTCCTAGGAAACCCACAGAATGTTTCCGAAGGTCAGGGGGAACAGAAAGCAGGAGACAGACAGATAGAAACGTCTCTCATGACATGAGGAAACTGAATGGGGACAGAGACTCATACTCAGCAACAGAACTGGGGAGATTTCCAGATGTGCTGGCTTCCTGGTTCTCTGTAATGTCCATCGTGCCCTTAGTCACTGACTAGGTCCACGAGAAACTCTGCCCTGGACTCTGGAACATCTATCTTTCTGGAATGTCCCCCCTTTGGACTCGGTACCGCTGGGAAGGTTCTGTCTCTCTCATTTCATTTCATTTCATTTCATTTCATTTCATTTCATCATCCTGTTATTCGTCGATTGCCTCGAGCAGGCCCCAGTAACGTCTCCTTCATCCTAGCCCTGAGATTATATTCAAGGCTCTTTAGGAGAATGAGACCCATCATTGTTACTGGTATTTGGCATATTTGGTACGCCACGGGGAGTTTGCCAGACTCTGCCCTGTGGGCAGGCTACATTCGATAGCCTGCAAGTTTGTCCAAAGTAGGAATGAGACAATAAGATGTCAGATCCCTCTTATTCAAACCCCATGGCCCCCTAGTGACACAAAGCCTGGGGTGGGCATCTCTCCCCCCAAAGTATTGGGGTGAATTTCTCAGTGAGAACGTGCGGCTGATCTCTGGGGAAGCTCTGGGTTTTCCAGACCCCGGTTCCCAGCTGCTGAGTGATCTCAGCACCTGGAAGGGGTAGCTGCGGTCCTGTTCCTCCTCTGGGCTATGTTGTCATCTTTGGGGTTTTCCCTTCCTCCTTCCCAAGAGGCCCCCAGTGCTGTGGCTCCAGTAGCCTCCTCTCTTTGAGCTGGATAGCCAGAGGCCGTCCCTCCTCAACTTATGCTCACACATAAGATATGGGCCCACCTTACTCCATTCTCTGCCTCTTGCACCCCAGACGCTGAGGACAAACTAGGCAAGGGGGGGTGAGTGGTCCTGTGTCAGCTATAAAAGATTGTGAGAGTTGAAAGATGTGGAAAGCACCAATGTAGACTTAAATGTAAGTGAATGAGGAGAAGAGATTTCCCTCTGTCAGAGGAAGGCATGTGCAAAGGCCCTGAGGCTGAGAGCAGCCTAATAAGCAGAGGTGAATCCCAGTGCAGAAGACACGGAGCTATTCAAAAAGTCAGGAGGAGCACCTACAAATTTTGTGGGTGTTTCTTGGTTGTTAGTTGATGGACTGCCGTGAAGTCTTTAGTTTTTATGGAGATGGGCAAATTTGAAGGTTTGAGGTAAGGATGCATCCTGAATTCATGTTTTACTTGTTTGTTTGGAGGCCACACCTGGTGGTGCTCAGAACTTACTCCTGGCTCTGAGTTCAGGGATCACACCTGGTGAGATTAGAGGACAATGTGGGGTGTCAGGGATTGAACCCAGGTCAATGACACACAAGACAAGCACTTTACCTGGTGTATTGTCCCCTTTTAAAAAATTATTTGGGGATGGGGCGGTCCGGTCAGCTGTTCCTGGAGCCCAACAAAGGAGCAGCCACTGGCTTTGGAGCAGGAGGCTGTGGGCTATTCCTGGCAAGCCAAACCAGCCAAGCGGGGCTAGGCTGAGCCAAGCTGAGCCACCTGTGAAGCCTGACACCAACTTTTCAAATATGAGGAAAGGGGGGGGGGAGTGAGAGAGAGAGAAAGAAAGAGAGAAAGAGAGAGAGAGAGATCCATAAATGAAAGATCAGAGGACCCAGAATCAGCGCACATCAGCGTACATGAGGCAAGTGTCCTGCTGGCTTGTAGTATCACTCCAGTCCAAGAGGCCCCTGGTTTGGTCCCCAACACTTCATGGTTTCTGATCAGCCATGAGAGTGACCCCCAAACACCAGGTCAGCAGTAGCCACTAAGCACTGCTTGGCATGGCCCAGAAACAAATTTTAAAAAGCCACCTCCCCCCACCAAAATATAAAATAAATAAAAATAAAATAAAGAGAAATGATGAGACAAAGCCAGGATGCAGAGATCCAGGCAGGAGGTGGCATCTCAGTTCAGTGGGGCCATGGAGGAACAGTATCAGGGTTGAAAGGGCCCTGGGAGGTGGGTCCCCAGCACTTGCTGACAGACAGGGTGCAGCAGGATAGAAATCCCCATTTCTCTGCCAGGAAGTTTAGGTCTGTGGTGAGGGAGGGTGAGGGAGGCAGAAAGACGTATGTCCCAGCAGGTAAGGAAGTCCAGCTTATGGGAGGGGTGATGGAGGAGGGGGGAGCATCCCCCTGGGCAGCTGCTCCTTTCCTGGAATTCAACCCATTGGAAGACACTCTCCAACATCCTGGTCAGAGGATCCCACAAGTGTGTGTAATTAATAACCCCAAGTCATTTCCCTCTCCTTCCTGTCCGCTTTGAAGAAACAAATAGAAGTATTGTTTTACTTGTTTCTGATTTTCAGCCTTCTACAAATCGCTGTTTTTCCCCAATACAGACCTGGCCCACAGCTTCATTCATTCATTCATTCATTTGCTGTTCATTTGCTTATTCCTTCAAGTGAATGCACCAGAATTGACCTCAGCAGGGGTGGGGTCAGGTGTTCCGGGGAGTTTCCAGCCCCCTGGGCGCTGGCAGTCTGCTCCTCCTGACCCTCACCCTCCCAGTCTTCCTTTCTAGGAGCTGATGGTGGGTAGCAGAACAACCTATGATAAACACCAGGGCTCTGGGAGGATATTGGTAATTTGTTATCAGCTACTCTTGGCAGCAAAGTGGAATGTGGTGGGTGTTTTCCTACCCAGGGAAACCAGGCAGCAGAACAAAGCTTTAGGATATTTCCGATGTGGAACATTGTCCTAAAGGAGCTCAGGGTGAAGTATGGAGGTATGAAGTATGAAGTTGGTGGGGGAGGGAGCAAAGGTGGAGACTGGGATCTGGGGGTGTGCAGCCAGCGGGGTGGGAGGATGCACTCCCGGCTAGTGACTCTGGGTTCAAATCCTGGTTTCACCCATCAATAACTGATGATCCCAAGCACTGGTGATCAATTCTCTTGCCTCTTTTCCTCTGAACCAGTAGGGCATCTTAAAATCTTCTGATGGTTGAAAGAAATGTCACACATTTATTGTTTTTTTTCCTTGTATATGCGTGTATGTGTGTGTGTGTTTGTGTGGGGTGTGTGTGTGTGTGTGTGTGTGTGTGTGTTCGGTGTGTGGGGGGGAATGCGCGCGTATGTGTTTTTTTGGTGTGTGTATGTGCTGTGGTGTGTGTGTATGTGTGTGCGTGTGTGTGTTGGACCACACCTTGGGGGTGCTCAGAACTTACTCCTGCCTTCACACTCAGGGTTACTCCTGGCAGAGCTCGGGGAACCCTATGGAATGCTGGGGTTCAACCCAGGTCAACTGTGTGCAAGGAAAGCGCCCTACCCACTGCACTATCTCTCTGGCACCCAAAACGCTGCACAATTTTGAAAAGTGCTTGATTGATCTGCTGGATAAATGGCAGCAATCATGAGTGGTGCCTGAGGCTGGTAAGATCCCCCAATAACTCCAGGGCATCCCGGCCAGACTGGGTAGGTGGGAGCCCTGGAGTGCCATGTGCAGAGCAAGACCCTCAGTGTATCCCCTCCTTCCAGGGAGCAGCAGAGACAAGCCTGGTCCTCCCCATGAGGATGCGGCAAGAGGGTGAGCAGACGCGAGGTGATGTGAGCACAGGTGAGACTGTCCCAAAGCTCCGCCACAGTTTTGGGATGGCAACGGAAGCCCAGGAGACAGTTGTCACTCCACTTTCATGTCACCCCACAGCTGGCTGGCTGCCAGGCTGACACTTCCTCTCCCTCCTGTCCCCTAGCCTTTGGGGGAGAGCCTCTTAGGGGTTGTTTCCTGCCTGATCTCCTTAGGAACCCCCAAAACCCAGGGGAGGAAGTAAAACCGACCTCCTGCAGCCACTATATTTTTTAAGTAAACAGATTTTATTTGGAGGTTTTTAAAGGTGAAGAGGGAGGGAAAATGAGAGAGTATAGCACTCAAGAGAGGTCGGAGAGAGCTCCTACACACATCCCAGTGTTGTGCTGCTGGGAACAGAGAGAGACAGTTCAGGATAGGATAGTGAGTTTATTAGAAGCTCAGCACTGAGGACCCCAAGTCAGAAGAGGAAGAGACTTGGAGCCCGGTTTGCTAGGAGGGTCTCTCTTTTATCCTCTAAAAGTGGTCTACCTCCTGAAAGAGAGTGCCGCAGAATCTCCTAACACCACTCCAGGCTATCTTCACGGGGGCACCTTGGAGGGGGGCAGGTTGAGTTTCCCTCCCCACCCCAAGCAGAACCCCAGCAGCCAAAAACCTTCAGAACCCAACCACACAGCCATGCGCAAGGCCACTCTCCACATGCTTGGACGGCCCCACCCAAGAGGGAACGAGCCTCACCCAAGATGGGAAGTACCTCATTTGAGAGCAGACCAGCAGGAAAACCCAGGTACGCGGGAACTCATGACTGAGACCTCCAAGACCACTCAGATCGGGACTGGGCCTCCTCCTCCCAGCTCCCCAGTTTTCCAGTAGCTTGGCAGTCACACGCACAAACCCCCCTAGCGCCATGTAATCTCATCTATGGCCAAGACCCAGAGACTATAAACTAAAGCTCCTGGAAGAGAGCTCCACAGAATTTCACGGAGCACACAGCCACATTTGTGGCCACGTGACCTCTTATACTCTACCTCACTTACTTATCAAAAGTATCACACATTTGTTTGGTTTCTAACATAACTTGCTTGTATTCTCTTACATTCGGGCTTAAATGGCTCCAGAATGAAATACAACAACTCTCACACCTTACCTCTTATTGTGGTGGGAAGGTGGTCGGTGGTGGGATTGGTGTTTGAATATTATCTGTAATGAACTATTGTGAACTACTCTTGGAGTGATGAAAATAAAATTTGTATTTAAAGGTAAAGGTAAAGGCCCTCCCGTTGATCGTCGATTTGCTCGAGCGGGCCCAGTAACGTCTCCATTGGAGACTTTGTTGTTACTGTGTCTGGCATATCGAATACTCTCGGTAGCTTGCCGGGCTCTCCGAGAGGGGCGGAGGAATCGAACTCGGGTCGGCCATGTTGGCCGCTTGTAAGGCGAACGCCCTACC